ATTATTATTATTATTATTATTATTATTATTATTATTATTATTATTATTATTATTATTATTATTATTAAAAAAACACCAGGCACAGTCAAAATTATCAAAACATTGACTGGTATTATGTAACCAAATACAAGTTTTAACCAAAAATCTATCTGTGAAAAATTGGCGCAGTATGTATGCTGTTCCTAATATTGCTGGGTTTTTTGTGGCTCTGATGGTGTGATTTCTGACATCTAATAATCAAATAATTTGGTGATGATGATTAATCATCTTTTTTTAAAATAACTACAGCAGCAACTAATTACTTTTTAAAAAATAACTACAGCAGTAACTAATTACTTTAGTGTGTGGAACTGTAACTGCAACTAGTCACCTTTACCGAGAGCAGCTTTCTAAACTCAGGTCCTTGCATTTCAAGTTCCCTCAAGATAGCAGGACAGGAGAACACTTGTGAAGTCCATCTCCCACTTCAGTTCCTACTCCTGTGGGTCTTCACAGTTCTGAATCCCTTTTAAGCCTAGCCGAAACTGGTGCCTCAAGGGCGCCCACGTGCCATGCCTCATTGTCCTGATGGTTTCTCCTCTCTCTTTTTTTCCCGTGTACTCTTTACAGCTCTGAGTCTGGCCTCCCCTTTCAACAGAATTTACGCTGGCTTGTGGAATTACAACAGCTGCCTCTCGTGCATTGCCATTGGGGGGATGTTCTACGCTCTCACCTGGCAGACCTTTTTGCTGGCGATCACGTGTGGTAGGTGACACACACACACCCCTTTCGTGGCGGTTTGTTACAACACAGAGGAACTTTGTCTTAGAGCAACACCTCGTTCTGCTGGTCCAGGAAGCTTTAGCGGCTGCAATGGGCTGCTCTGCTCTTCACTCAACAGTGCTTTTCATTTTTTTTGTTTCGTTTTGGCCCCAGTTATTTTCTTATCCTGAGTTACGCCAAGTATATTTCCTCACAGGAAGACACATTGCCTAATCTGTACCTGACCGCTCGTTGCATTGTGCATACACTGTGAGCAACCCATTAACAAGAAGCGCTGGCATGGAGTTATGCTTAGTTCCTTAGTCGCAACGTGTCTATATGGTCCAGCTGATCAGTGTCCTTAGAATAGTATATGAAGTTCCAGAGCTAGGAGTGGGCCAAACATTCACTCATAAAACCTTCCAACTTCCGACTCCTTTTAAAAAAAAATACTGCCTGTTCTCCTGCTTGGTACTTCTTCTACCTGTAGTTGTTGACTAACACACACAAACACACACCCCAAATTCCCTTTCAGGTACACACACACACACACACACCAAATTCCCTTTCAGGGCTTCTGACACCGCATGGTTCCAAGTAGGGCGTTGAGTAAAATGAACACATCGTCGTCGTTTAGTCGTTTAGTCGTGTCCGACTTTTCGTGACCCCATGGACCAGAGCACGCCAGGCCCTCCTATCTTCTACTGCCTCCCGGAGCTGTGTCAAATTCATGTTGGTTGCTTCGCAGACACTGTCCAGCCATCTCATCCTCGGTCGTCCCCTTCTCCTCTTGCCATCACACTTTCCCAACATCAGGGTCTTTTCCGGGAAGTCTTTTCTTCTCATTAGATGGCCAAAGTACTGGAGCCTCAGCTTCAGGATCTGTCCTTCCAATGAGCACTCAGGGTTGGTTTCCTTTAGAATTGATAGGGTTGTTCTCCTTGCAGTCCAGGGGACTCCCAAGAGCCTCCTCCAGCACCCTTCATGGAGTGCTGCCTTGTCATGGCGAAGGGGCTTGAGGAACTCAGAAAAGCTATGGGCTATGCCATGCAGGGACACCCAAGACAGACAGGACATAGTGGAGAGTTCCGACTAAACGCAATCCACCTGGAGTAGGAACTGGCAATGCCACTCCAGTATCTTTGCCAAGAATGCCCCATGATCAGAAACAAAAATGAACACATACACAACACATATTGGTTCAATCTCAGTACCTCTTCTTGATACTCAGCGTCTTCCATTTCACAGTAGTATTTCTTTATTTTCTTTATACAATTTATAAAGAATCATAGAATCGCGGAATAATGGAGTTGGAAGGGGCCTCTAAGGCCATCAAGCCCAACCCCCTGCTCAGTGCAGGAATCCAAATCAAAGCAGATCTGACAGACGGTGGTCCGAGTTTCTCTTGAATGCCTCCAGTATTAGAGTGCTCACCGCTTCCTGGGGTCATTGATTCCATTGTCATACTGCTCTAACAGTTAGGAAGTTTTTCATTATGTTCAGCCAAAATCTGGCTTCCTGTAACTTGAGCCCATTGTCGTGTGTCCTGCACTTTGGAATGGTAGAGAAGAGATCCTGCCCCTTCTCTGGATGACTACCTCTCAAGTATTTGAAAGGTAGTCATACAGTCATATACCACCCCACTTAGTGGCAAGCCACTACTCTGAATGGTGAACAAAGAAGGGAGAATATGAAACCACATCCATCCATCCGTCCATCCGTCCATCCGTCCGTCTGTCCGTTTGTCCGTCCGTCCATCTATCCGTCCGTCCGTCCGTCCGTCTGTCTGTCTGTCTGTCTGTCTGCGTTTTTGTTTGTTAGATTTTTATAGCAAACCAGCTACTCTGAGCAGTTTGCAGCAGTATACCTAGGGGAAATAGTTACACAATCAACCGGCTACAAACGAGTGCTATAAATAACTACAACTACTACTCAGCAGAACAAGCCACAGTTTATTGACAACAAGGCATTTTAATTCTTCTTCCTTTTCCTTCTTCCCTCCCCTCTCCCATTGCCTGAGGGGGGGCCTCCCCAAATGCTTCTCTCAAGAGTCCTAGTTTTAGGGGCTTCTTAAAGGTTCAGCGGGGGGGGGGAGGGCACCTGGCCTATTTCCTGCTGAAGGGCATTCCGAAGGGGGGGGGTGCCAATGCAGAGAATCCTGTGAGCGGCAAGATAAATTTAGGACCACAATACAAAAACAGAAAGAAATGATCTAGCCACATCTGGATACAGGTCCATAACTCTTTCCTCAGAGATAGCACGTTTTTAAAGGTTTCTTTGTAGAGTTCCGTCTTAACAGATTTTCTTAAAATATAGAGGAAGAGGGCCTGGTGACCTCGGGTGGAGGAGCATTCCACAATGGTGGAGTCACCAGCCCTGCATTCCGGAAGAGAAGCCCTTCATTCTAAATTCTGTTCTCGGCTTTCCCTTCTGCCTTTCCCGTTCTTCAACTTGACAGAGTTCTCCGCGGAGCCCAATAAACATAGCAAAAAGGAATCATTTACATTTTTAACACTTAATCAGCCTATAAACTGCTTTATAGCCTTTATCGGGGACTCGTCTTGTTCTGCGGACTTTTACTGACTAAGCATTTTATACCCAGATAGAGACAGGGTGCGCCTAGATGGCCCATATATGGGTGTGAAAGCTGAACAGTGAAAAAATGGATTGGTTTGAAATGTGGTGCTGGAGGAGATCTTTGGGGATACTCTGGATGGCCAGAAAGTTGAACAAGTGGGTCTTAGATCAAGTCAAGCCTGAACTGTGTCTGGAGGCAAAAAAAAGTTGAAACTGAGGCTGTATTACTTTGGGCACATCATGAGAAGGCAGGATTCCCTGGAAAAGACAATAATGCTAGGAAAGGTGGAAGGCAGCAGGAGAAGAGGAAAGCCGAATACAAGATGGGCTGACTCTCTAAAGCAGCGGTCCCCAACCTTTTTGGGACCTCAAGTGTGACACGCCCCTTAATGCTAGGAAAGGTTGAAGGTAGCAGGAGAAAAGGAAAGCCAAATAGGAGATAGGCTGACTCTCTAAAGCAGTGGTCTCCTTTTTGGGACCTCAAGTGTGACACGGCCCTCCACAAGTATGACACACCCCTCCACAAGTGTGACACGCCCACCGTGTGTGCATGGGGCAGGGTTACATCTCTGACACCCCTCCACAAGTGTGACACGCCCACCGTGTGTGCAGGGGCGGAGCTACGTCTCTGCGACCCAGTTCCGGCAAGCCCGCAGACTGGCACTGGGCTGCAGACCAGGGGTTGGGGACCCCTGCTCTAAAGGAAGCCACAGGCTTGAGCTTGCAAGAGCTGAAGAGAGCAGTTGAAGAGAGGATCTTGTGAAGTTCACTGTTTCCTAGGGTTGCCAGGAGTTGGAGGGGACTTGACGGCACATAGCAACCATAGATGTCCCAATTATCCCTTCCTAGATCAGTCTAGAGTGTGCTAAACAGGGTTGCTTTGAGATGCAGAGTGATCCTTCCATCAACATGAAAGGACCAACCACATCACACCTCAAGTGGCGATGTTTAGCAACATCTAGAGGGATGGAAATGTCTCCTCCTGTCTCCTCCTCTATGCTTTGCCTAAGCCTCCTAACAAACTTGAGAAATTGGAAGCTTTCCATATCTTTGTTATTGCTGCTAACTGACACAAAGCCTTGGCAATGCACTGAAAGAGCTTTTTAACACTAGAAGAAATGCAAAACTTCTTCTCCCTTCCCCTACACAGGTGAGCGTCAAGGAAGCTTTCCATATCTCAAGGTTGTTAAGTGTTAAATCGTCTGTTGCCCACCCTATAGCTTCCCACACAGGTCAAAAATCTGTTTGGGAGGGCTGGGAAACTCCTCGGATCCATGTATCAGGCAACACCGAGGGCTATGGGGAGGAAGGGGGAGAGATTTTCGTTGCACCACCAGTGTGACTTCTTTCGGTATCATCCCACAGTGACAGCAGATGATGGCAGTTTCATGGGACTGATGTGTCCACTCTGCATTTTGATCCAAAGCTAACCAAGGTGCTGAAGTGATTTGAGGGGGGGGGGACACTTCAGCACCTTAGTTGGCTCCAAGGAATTTCAGACAAAAGAAAAGAGCCAATTCACCTTCTCCGTGAAATCAAAAAAAATCATCATCCTCTTCTAGGCTATGGACTCTAGTTCAGCTCTTCTTAGGTCTCATGGGCCTGAATCTAATTCTTAAGCCCAAATAGACTAGAGCCATTTGATTGATGAGGGCCTGGAAAGATTTATATAAGTTCCCTGATTAAATAGGTCCACTTCAGGCGAGGCGAAGTTGGCTGTGTTTGTCGCATGTGTGAAAATCATTCCTTCCGAAATCAAACTGGACTTTAAAGTGTTGATCTTTAACTACATCATACCTCATGATTTTATTATTTTCTGAAGCAGTTGACTGGCGAATGAGCAGACTGAATGATTCGGGAGGGGGAAAAAAACCTTCTTAAAAACCACATAAAACATCAGTCATCGTTGCCATCATCTGTTTTATTGCTTTGTCAGGCAAGCTGTGGAAAACAACGTAATAAAGGGTCACAATGACAAAGAGGGAAGGGGGAAATTCCAATAGGATTTCAGTTTTAAAAAAACCCTCAAAAGTTAAAATACATTGCACCCTTGCATTATAATTAAACATAAAACTTTAACAAACGTCATAAGAATGACAGTTGTTATGAACTAAGTTGGTAGGTCAATGTAGGATTTTTAAAAAATAACTGAAAATGCCCCCCTCATGCGTTCTGATGACAATTGTTTTCATTGGGGGTTTGGGGGGAGCGAAAGGTGCTTCAGAGCCCAGGGCATGGCAGAATTGTCCCACACCCCCCCTTAGAGCAGTGGTCCCCAACTTTTCCTAAACTGCAGACTGGTTGGGGGAGCGGGGTCCACATGAGAAGGTAAAATGCCCCCCTCATGCGTTCTGATGACAATTGTTTTCATTGGGGGTTTGGGGGGAGCGAAAGGTGCTTCAGAGCCCAGGGCATGGCAGAATTGTCCCACACATCCCCTTAGAGCAGTAGTCCCCAACTTTTCCTAAACTGCGGACTGGTTGGGGGAGCGGGGTCCATATGAGAAGGTCCCCCCCATGCTCATGGGTGGGTGGGGGCGCTTGCAGTCATGCACGGGTGGGCAGGGCGTGCGTGCATGCAGGTGTGCATGTGGGGTGCGTATGGGGGCGGGAGATCTGTCGCCATGGTCTGGGTTGTGGGACCCCTGCCTTAGAGGACACACGTGGAATTTCTGAGCAATAAAATTAGGTGTGTGGGCAGGATGGACTAATGGGGTAGGAGATACACACAGACCATGGCACACGCTTTATACATGTTTGCTCCATACCCAAATCACCCACCTCATATTATGCAATGTTTTAATGGCCTTTCCTGTTTTCACAGGCCTGTTTACTGCCTATGTGGGAGAAACACTGGGAAATATGTTTTCTGTGGTAAGTTTTGCTGATTTTAAGGATTGGAGTCACCACGTCTTGGGGAAGCAGGCCAACGTCTTAGGGAATCGTTCTGTTTCGCTTTGTCTCCAAGGGAGGGGAAAATTTAAGTAGCCGTGAAGAAGGAGAATCAGAGAATAGTCAAGTTGGAAGGGGCCTCCAAGGCCGTGCAGTCCAACCCACTGCTCAAGCCAGGAAATCTGTGGTAAGTTTTGCTGATTTTAAGGATTGGAGTCACCACGTCTTGGGGAAGCAGGCCAACGTCTTAGGGAATCGTTCTGTTTCGCTTTGTCTCCAAGGGAGGGGAAAATTTAAGTAGCCGTGAAGAAGGAGAATCAGAGAATAGTCAAGTTGGAAGGGGCATCCAAGGCCATGCAGTCCAACCCACTGCTCAAGGCAGGAATACAAATTGAAGGATATCTGTCAGGTGGTTGTCTAAGTTTCTTTTGAATGCCTTCAGCATTGGAGCGCTCAGTACCTCTCATGGTAATTGATTCCATTGTCGTATTGCTCTAACATTTCGGAGGTTTTTCCTGATATTCAACCAAAATCTGGCTCCCTTTAACTTGAGGCCATTGTTGTATGTCCTGCACTCTGGGATGATCGAGAAAGTCTGGTTTTTCTGTGCATGTGCTGGCATTAATGCTTGGGTGCCCCACTCCGTCCATGCCTGTTGGCACCACAGATCCATGGCTCAGTTTTGAGAGGTGGTTTTAGGCATGTTTTGCTTGTACAAAAAAAAGGGCACCACTAATAAGCCCTGAATGGCGAGGCCCTGTTCCAGCCGAGTGAAATACAGGGCTGTGAAGGTGTCTGACCATCTGACCTTGTCACTCGTAGCTTTTGAACACACTGGGACACTGATTGTGCTGCAGAGTTTTGAATTTCTGGTTAAATTTCTTTAGCCGCACAACAGAAGAGCAGGAAATTCACAGAGCATAATAGCTTCAAGATCTCCAGATTAGTCCACCCGTTTTCTCATCAACTGGCGCTTACTGTCTCAATAGCTCACTCTGAGACCTTCATAGGAGAAAGAATAAAAGGTTTCATTACTTACAGTTGAACAGATCAAACATCAAACTGACAAACGTGACTGCTTTCAGCAACAGACTCTCAAGAGAAAGAAAGCACTGAGCGGAGCGGTGGGATTCAGAGGCAGGAGGGAATGGCTGACTAGTGCTGGACAGGGACCCGGAGGGGTCCCTCCCAGCCAAACCTACTAAAGGCAGCATGCGAGGTTGGGAAAAAAAACAACCCAAAAAGACCCTCCAACAGTAAGGCAGGGAGTGGAAACACAGCAAATCTCACATGCTTTCTTCTTTCAACAGACTCTCAAGAGAAAGAAAGCACTGTGCTGACACAAGTGCTGTCAGTAGTAGTGCAAAGCCTGGGGGAGTGGAAATTTGCCCCTCCCAAACTATCCCTCATTGGGATACAGCCTGTGGCATCAAAAATCTCAACCCTAGCCACCCATTCTTTGGTTTGGGTCCTGAAATTTCAGGGAACATGGCAGTGCCTGGCTGGCAACGCTAGCAAAGAGGTAGAAGAGGGATTGGATTTCTCAAGAAGCTTTCTTGACGAAATGTTGGCCCTCACCTTTCAGAACGCTATAAAAGGCCAATAGGGAAATGGATGCATTGGGGAAAAAATGGAAGGAAAATTCTTGTGTTTATCTTGGCTATGAGTCTGGATGATCTCACTAAAAGAAAAGAAAGAAAAGAAAAAGGGCAAATAGGAATCACAGATGTAATCCAGACTAATCTAAACCAGCTGGAATACCAGGGAGCCAAATGGGAATTTTCACTGAGTCTAGGGTTCTTGTGTAGTCCAGGCTCGAGTTCAAAACTAGCTTTGACATCACTGGGCCTTCTACCTGCACACGCCGAATACCACTGGTGGTCCTTCCTCTGAGGAGACAGATCTGACCAGTTCAGCTGCCAAGAACCCATGAGACGGGGTGTTTCCAAGTCAAGCAAGCCTCTCAGATGAACCAGAAGGAGACGAGTGTCACCACAGAAAATAAATGAACCGGACGGAAGAAATTAAAAGAGAACTCTTCCGTCCTTCTCTTTTCCTCTACTTTCACCACTTACAGCCAGCTGAATGTACAGTAGGACTCCCCTTATCCACAGGAACAGTCTCCGCTGATTCATTTATCAACGGTCTATAAATATTAAACGAAAAATCCTAGAAATATATATTTCTAAAGATTATGTTTCTAGAACTGACCACTAGGGGGACCCAGACACCATGCTATGTGTAGCATTTGGATGTTTCTAGAACTGACCACTAGGGGGACCAAAATACCATGCTATGTATAGCATTTGTTAGAGAAATATATTTCTACCTGGTCATTATCAGAACTGGCCACTAGAGGGGGGCAAAGACCATGCCATGTATAGTGTTTGTTTGATGTTAAAAAGAGTGTTTCCTATCATCTACGTTTTTCAGCATCCATAGGGGAAGGGTGGGCTTAGAACCAGTTCCTTGTAGATATGGGTGACCTGCTCTACTAATTCAACTAAAACATGGTCTGTTCTCTCCTCTTGCAGTTTGGCATGCCACTGGGGACCTGGCCGTTCTGTCTGTCTTCGCTCACCTTCCTGCTTCTAACCACCACCAACGAGGCCATCTATAGGCTGCCTCTCTCCAAAGTTACTTATCCAGAAGCTAACCGGACCTATTACTTGACCAGAAAGGAACAGTGCTCCAAATCCACTTGTGATGTGTAAGAGATTAAATCACGAGCACCTCTTTTCTCACCATGCTAGAGAAGCCATCTTGGCATTTCCTAGGGACGAGGAAGACTGTGAAACAGAAGGGGGGTGGGATCCATTCTGGCCGATGTTCACTGGGCATTTTTTTTGTCCATTTTACATTGTAAATACGTACCTTCACTGGGTTTCAGATAGCATTGAAAGTCGCTCAATAGTTCAGTCAGAAGCTAGCACAATGTCTAGTTCCAGTTCCTTCGGAAAGGTGCATGAAGCTTGTGGAGTGAACCGAGGGGTGAGCAACAGGTTGGCTGTCTGTGCCCAACAGAGGCCAAAATGGGCCACTGGGGGAGCACAACTGGATTTTTTTAAAAAAAAAAAAATTTAAAACAGGAAATTAAGTATGGGTCATGGGAGTGAACTTCACCCTCTAAGCTCCAAAGATGGGCCTGTGTGATTCTCAAACTTATGGAGATGGCCCTCCTCTGGTTTAGATCCAGAATGACCAGCTGGAGGAGATTCAGCTGGATCTGCCTTTGAAACATTTTTTATAAGATGTGGCCAGGTTTTCAATCAGGTCGGTTTAAGAACCTGCATGCCAGTCACTTAGAAAGACAGTCTGGGAGAATGTGACTGGGCTGGATCCATACTTAAAGCAGATACCCTGAAATGAATGGATTATCTGAATGATGATTATCATGTTTTGCACTTTATGGTCTGCTGATATAGCTACCTATAGATCCAGTCCAGTTAATCTACAGTGTTCGCATGAAGACTCACTGATTTAGATTTCGCATACAAAAGCCCAGCTCCGCTTGAGTGTATACGCTCCACTTGATTTGAAGCCCCACTGATGGATGATATTGACGTTATTATAATGCCTGAAAACTCCTAAGAGGTCAGTTTGTCTAAGAGAGAGCCCCAGTTCTAGAAACAGGTTCCAGACCTGAACAAAATTAAGCTCATCAGTTAAGGCTGGCTGCCGTTAATTTATTTAATCATTTATTTAGTCAAATTATACCCTACCCAACTAGTGATAAGCCACGAGTCTGGGTCGATACACAAATTAAAGCACAAGAAACAAATTAAAGCAATAATCCTATGAAAAATACTACCCCAACAAACCTAATTAACAATGCCTAAGTTACAAAACAAACAGAAACAAAACAGTTGATTAAACATGTAGCAATCAATGTAGGCGCATCACAAAAATACGAAGAAAATAACATTTTAAAGGAGGGAGGCTTTCAAAGACCTGGGTAAAAGCCAGATTTTGATTTGTTTCCCAAAGCTAAGGAGGGTCGGGGCCTGGCACACACCTCGGTGGAAAGTGAATTCCAAAATCAGGTGGCCACTACTGAAACGATCCTGTTTCTGGTTGACAATTTCCTGGCCTCTCTTGGAGTGGCCACCCTAAACATCAAAGGCTGGAGAGACAGGAAGTCAACCTCAGAGAAAGATGTTCTATCAGTTAACAAGGTCCCAAACCATAAATGACTTTATAAGAGAACATCAGCACCTTGAATTTGGCCTGGAAGCATACTGGAAGCTGTTGCAAAAACGCCAGCACAGGCAATATATATGGTCACATTTCAGTGTATCTGTGACCAACCCGGCCACTGTGTTTTGCACTTTGCTGCAACTTCCGAACTGCCTTCAAGGGCAGCCCCACATACAGAGCATTGTGACACTCAATCCTTGAGACTGTTGTTGTTGTTTACTCATTAAGTTGTGTCCGACTCTTCGTGACCCCATGGACCAGAGCACGCCAGGCCCTCCTGTCTTCCACTGCCTCTCAGAGTTGGGTCAAATTCATGTTGGTCGTTTCGGTGACACTGTCCAACCATCTCGTCCTCGGTCGTCCCCTTCTCTCCTCTTGCCTTCACACTTTCCCAACATCAGGGTCTTTTCCAGGGAGTCTTCTCTTCTCGTGAGATGGCCAAAGTATTGGAGCCTCAGCTTCAGGATCTGTCCTTCCAGTGAGCACTCAGGGTTGATTTCCTTCAAAATGGACAGGTTGGAACTCCTTGCAGTCCAGGGGACTTGAGACTACCCATGCTTGAATCAGTGTTATTAGGGATCTCCTATTGAGAAGTTCTTCTTCTTCTTCTTCTTCTTCTTCTTCTTCTTCTTGCCTGTAATTCATGGCAACCCTATGAATGATTGCTCTCCAAAATGTCCTTGTCTTCAACAGCCCTGCTCAGCTCTTGCAGACTCGATTCTCTGGCTTCCTTTAGGGGGCCAATCCGTAAAGATAGGCTGTAAGTAAAACAAAATAGACACCACTTGCTTCAGCTTGTACGAGGCAAAGGTGTGACCTTCCCCATGCTTCTGGAAGGCCACGGTTTGGGAACCTAAGAATAACCTTCTTGAATCAGACCAAAAAGTCTGCCTCGCCTAGCTTTCTCCTCACACGGTAGCCCATTAGGGCTTCTTCTAACAGGGCAACAAAGTCCAACCTCCCCGGTGGTCACAAAGGAGCGTGTGTAGGGCTGGCAATCAGATCCAAACCTTCCTTTTAAGCAACGCTTCTTTGAAAAGTGCTTCTAAGAGCTTCTGACCGGGAGGGTTTCTGAGTGTGAAACTCAAAGCCTGGGACAAAATGAAACTAAAACTAAAGCACACCGAAAGGAGGAACCCCCCCCCCAAAAAAAGCATGGAACACCTTTTTTAGAGTTGCACAGAAAGGAACAAGACAAGACTTAGTTGTACTACGGACAGCAGGAAAAATGCCAATAAAACCAGTGTGGAACTCAGTATTTCCACAAGGACCAGTGCTCCCTTTGAAAGAGCCTTACGCTGCCACTGGGAAACCTGTGAGTCAGACACGGCTGTAAAGCCATCTCCCTTGCTCAGCAAGTGATATACAGTACAACGCCTCTGACGCCCAAGGTGACGCACAGCCGTTGTGATTCGTTCTCCACTCCGCTTTTTGCCATGGGACTCAATACAGTGGGGTCTTGACTTGAGAACTTAATCCGTATTGGAAGGCGGTTCTCAAGTCAAAAAGTTCGCAGGTCAAATCTGCATTTCCCATAGGAATGCATTGAAAACCATTTGATCCGTATCTGCTCTTTTCCGTCCATAGAAACTAATGGGAAGCTGCTATTCTGCCTTCGACCACTAGAGGGGGATATTTTGTGTCTTTTTTTCTTCGGTCAAGAAAGGTTCAGGGAAGGCAGGGAAAATACAGTCCAGGCACTACCAGGCAGTCCGAAGACTCCCAATCCACTCTCTAAACGCTGGGAGGAGTGAGGAAGCAGACAGGCACCCTTTTCACTGGCCAACAGTTAACTGAAAGTTCACATTTTGCACTTTCCCTGCCTCCCACGTGGTTTTTTTTCAGTTCTTAACTCAAATCTAAGTCAAGTCAATATTTTCCTATGAGAGTGGTTCTTAAGTCAAAATGTTCTTAACTCAAGCCGTTCTTAAGTCAAGACCCCACTGTATGATCTTGTTTCCCTTTATTTATCAGTACATAGGCTGTATCTGTAGCCCTTTTCGGTTGTATCTGGGGGCTCAGTCGAGGGCTAATCTCAAGTTCATGCTTCGGGTTCTTTTCTTCTTGCTCACTTCTGAGCTGTGGATTCCTTTCCTTTCCCCGTTTCCCCCTAACTGTAATAATTTCTCCTGACAGCTGTCCAAACCTACAGATTCCAGCTAGCCCAGAACTTGAAAGAATTTTGCTATTGTTTTTTTTAAAAAAAAACAGGAAAAGCAAAGGACAAAATATCACAGCACCCTAAAGACTTGCCAATATATTTCAGGGTGCCTCAAGATCCACCTTCTCATCCATGCAAAGATTTTTTCTGAGTTCTCAGCTAAGAACAGCGCTTGTCTATTCTAGAAATACCTTTCGGTCTTGTTGGTACATAAAAGGGGATTAACTGAGTAAAGAGGAGGTGGCAGGGCGTGCTTCTAGCTGTCCTCTGGCGTGCTCTGGTCCATGGAGTCACGAAGAGTCGGACACAAGTTAACGACTAAACAACAACAACATCTCGATGGGAGAGAGCAACCAAGAGGACAGCGATGAGAATGAAGAACAGCTATAGTGGCTAGAAACAGCTGGGGAATGATAGGAACTGCAGTTCCACAAAGCAAAGGCGTCTAAGCTCTTCAAGTTGCCATGTTATTACAGCTCGTGTCTCTAGCGTTTTCCGCTTGGGCACCAAGTAATTCATAGATGAAATTCCAGACTCGTGGCAGTTTCCTGCAATTTTTTTTCCATCCAGTTGCAGCTACTGAGCAACTGGGAAATTGATGTTTTGTTCAAGAGGCTCGTCTTTCCCGTCCCTTTTCTGAACTCTGAGCTGTCCTCCGTGGATTTTCCTTCTGATGGAAAACATCTGCTAGAGAGCAGCTGAGAAACAAAATCAAACAAATACAAGGAACAGAAAGAAGGGCACATTCGCTCCTAAGATATATTATTATCGAATCATAGACTAATGGAGTTGGAAGGGGCCTTTAAGACCATCAAGTCCAACCCCCTGCTCAAGGCAGGAATCCAAATCAAAGGATATCTGCCTGGTAGCTGTCAAAATTTCTCTTGAATGCCTCCAGTGTTGAAGCACTCACCATCTCCCGAGTTAATTGATTCCATTGTTGTACTGCTCTAACAGTTAGGAAGTTTTGCCTGATATTCAACCGAAATCTGGCTTCCTGTAACTTGAGCCCATGATTACGTGTATTGCATGCTGGAGATAACAGAGAACAGATCCTGCCCCGCTTCTGTATGACTACCTTTCAAATATTTGAAAAGTGCTATCAAACCGCCCCCGCCCCCAGTCTTCTTTTTTCTTTTTTTGCAAGAAAACAAGAGAGAAAGGGCTCTCTTCCAGCGATCATACTCTGTGGTGGTAGAAAAGGCATAGAATAAGATCAAGACGTGCAAGAATTCGCTCCGCAGCGCAGCACTATGGGTTAGGATTTTATAGTGTGATTTCGTACAGCGTAGCAACATCACACTGTTACTGGGGTTCAGAACAATGCCCTTTCTGTACCTTTGATTTAGCTTCTGCCAGCAGGAAGCCTGTTAAAGCAATTAATAGGAATTAGTTTCCAGCTACTGCAAGCATTATATGAAGAGGCTGCCAATTTCAACAGCAAGCAAAGAAAGATCATCTCCAGATGGTCAGTCACAGAATGTTGCAGGAGTGCATTGCTAGTCTAGCATATACAGGTCATACACTTGCATGAGCATACAGTCATAGGAATCGTGTCATTATTGTGTCACTGCTAGAATATCTTGTATTAAAACTATGCAGCTATTTTTAACATTTGTCTTGCAACCAAACCTCTGAACCTGTGGCTAGAAGCAATGATGGGATGGATAAAGGTGAATAAACTAAAATAATCCAGACAATTTGGAGGGATTGTAGGTAGAGGATATTGATTAGCCTAAGTGGGCAGAATTGACTGGCTTAGGCTTGCAAGAGTCCTAGATGGGGTTGCCCCCCCCTGAAGGACCAAGTACTGGACACAAGGGACTGAGCTTTCTCAGCACTGGCTCCCCACCTGTGGAACTCCCTTCCACTTGACATCCATCCCATCATTATAAGCCTCCACATTAGCCCCGAAGACTTACTTTGTCCTACAGCTAGATTAATCCTTTTTGGTATCCTTATATAAATGTTCAATTTTGTTATTTCAGTTGTACGATTTTCATGTTTTATTATTGTTTTACCATTGTCTTACTGTATTTTATTGGTTTTAATTTTGTACAGAGCCTAGGGAGGGTCCTCCTCCAAAAGGCAGCCTGTAAATCCTGTAAATAAATAATTGAAATTTAAGTTATCTATACATAAATTGCATGTGTTGCTTCTCATACAGCAAACCACACATGTTATAGAATGCAGTGTGGGTTCCAAAGAGCTGATGAAAATATCTTTAACTGCAGACTAAATATAAAGTATCCTCAATCCGATATGAGAAAAAAAATTCATAGGGTTCAAAGTTAAGCAATTTTGAATAAATTGAGTGCAAAAAAAATGCCAGTGGTGGGGGATTCCCGACAGATAGCAACAAGGAGCAAAAAGAGAGATTTGAAAGTGGAATTTCACAGCAGGTGTAGTAAACTTTTGTGTTCCGCACCCAAAAAGATCACAGAGATGATTAAACTCATAGAATAATAATATCAAAGAATAGTGAAGTTAGAAGGGGCCTATAAAGCCATCAAGTCCAACCCCCCGCTCAATTCAGGAATACACATCAAAGAATATCAGCCAGGTGGTTGTCTAAATTTCTTTTGAAGGCCTCCACCTTTGGAGAATTCACCACTTCTTGAGGTCACCGGTTCTATTGTCACACTGCTCAAACAGTTAAGGGTTTTTTCCTGATACTCAACCAAAATCTGGCTTCCTGTAACTTGAGCCCACAGTTGCATGTCCTGCACTCTGGGATGATCGAAAACAGATCAGCTATACTGACGTTCAATCCAGAATGGAAGGAGAATAAGTAAGTATTTCACCTTATACGTAGCCCTAAATGAAACCTTCCAAGGTTGATGGATTCTTCCTAAAACTGAGACCTTAAGGTATTGGGTGTGCTAAGCACAGTTTCTCCCAGTAACTTGGATTGGGGCATGACGCAGCTAAATTTAGAGTATGAATTTATAGAAACTTAGAATCATAGAATAACAGAGTTGGAAGGTGCCTATAAGGCCATTGAGTCCAACCCCCACTGTTCAAGGCAGGAATCCAAATCAAGGCAGACCTGACCAGAGGGTGGTCCTGTTTTCTCTTGAATGCGTCCAGCGTTGGAGCGTTTGCCTGAACATCATCTAACATATTCAACCAGAACGTTATCTCCAGGTTATGTTACAATGCAATGCACATTAAATGCTGTCAATTTCCTGTGTTGTGGTGGGTAGCCTCAATTCACATACCCTTTCTAGTGACCCCAATAGGGTTTTCGATATATGTGAGATATTTAAGGAGTATTTTTACCAGTTCCACTCCCTCACTGAGTTTCCATGGTACTGCAGGGATTTGAACTTGGGGCTCCGGAGTTCTGACGTGGGGGCGCTGTGGGTTAAACCGCAGAAGCGTCTGTGCTGCAAGGTC